ATAGATAGATAGATAGATAGATAGATAGATAGATAGATAGATAGATAGATAGATAGATAGATAGATAGATAGATAGATAGATATAGATATTGGAGCTAAACAATTAATCGAAATAAGGTCACAATCTCGATTCGACCCCCTAGACCAGGGGTGTCAAACTCAATTCCTGGAGGGCCGAAGCCCTGCACAGTTTAGTTCCAACCCTGCTCCAACACACTTACCTGTAGGTTTCAAACAAGCCTGAAGGACTCAATTAGTTTGATCAGGTGTGTTTAATTAGGGTTGGAACTAAACTGTGCAGAGCTGCGGCGGTTTTGGTACCGAGTTTGACACCTGTGCCCTAGACGATCCTAATCCTTCATTTCTACGATTCTGTCAATCAAGTGTCACAAGTCTTCACATTGTTTTACATACGTTGCTCAGTGATATATATATATATATATATATATATATATATATATATATATATATATATATATACTAGATAGATAACACTTAAATATGGGGGGGGGGGGTCTCTGAATTTATGATTAAGTTATGTGTTTGAGTTAATCATAGTTTTTAGTTTATTTTGCAAACTACAAATAAATTGTTTCTCACAAATTAAAATAATATAATATAATAATGTTGTAATTTAGGGTCTTTTTGGCATTAATCAACACAGAAGACACCAGTTATTCAGATGTTTCAATTTATTTCCAAGACAATACAACATAGATGTTTTAAACTTCAGAATTTTTTTCTGACAAATTGTAATCTTTTGAAGAAAAATGCTTTAAATGACAATATTTTTTATTTAAATTGGGGAGACTTTCACATTATGCTTAAACCCATATCATCATAGATATATTACATCTAATCATAGATATATTACATGTCTAAATTATCTCCAAAACAACACATCCACAATCACACACCAGTGGAGCTGTGCGCAGTGTTGTAAAAATATACTCTGAAGACTAACTGAAGACAAATAAGACCGACGCCAGAGGTCAGCAATGTCAGGAAGCTCTTCCTCCGCAATAGTCCTCAATCCCAAACACAGAGATGATTAAAAAAAAGAGAGAGAAAGGCAAAGTGACAGACAATGTTGCAGTATTGACTGTGGTGTCTCTCTCCACTGATTAAAACAAGGCGTCATGATTAAGGACCTGCTCAATAAACCAATTTGCTTGTTGGAAACTCAATGTCAACATAATAGAGAGAGAGAGAGAGAGAGAGAGAGAGAGAGAGAGAGAGAGAGAGAGAGAGAGAGAGAGAGAGAGAGAGAGAGAGAGAGAGAGAGAGAGAGAGAGAGAGAGAGAGAGAGAGAGAGAGAGAGTGGAAAAAATGAGCAAGGGACTGGGCGAGAGACCTGCTGTGAATCTGTAATGGTTGTGGTGGGCAGTAGGAGCTGTTTGTCAGCTGCGTTTCGATTTCCACACAACCAGATGTGGCTTAATAGAGTCCCATCAGAGGTGAAATGCAGACGTGGTTTCAATGTTAAACTGCAGTTATTTGAATTGAGCAGCGTGTTGAATGTGTGTTAGTCCATCAGAAAGGACGGTTCACCAAAATATTAAAATTCTATCGTCATTAACCCTATATTGTTGAAAACCTATTTGAGTTTCTGTGTTGAACATGAAAGCAGATAATTGAATTTGCTGATTTGATCATTGAAAAATGCTGGTTGATGGTACTCACTGACTTCCAAAGTAACTTTTTTTTTCCTACTATGCAAATAAATAGGTGCCAGCAACCAGCATTTTTCAAAATATCTTCTTTTGTGTTCAACAGCAGAAAGAAGCTCATAAAGGTTTAAATCAACATGTGGGAATGAATGATTGAGCCATTTTCAATTTTGAGTGAACTGCCCCTTTAAAACATTTAGCAATGAACATTTACATTTAAATATCATAATATGAATCTGATTACAAAGGAGTGGAAAATTATTTAAGATATCATTTAAGCAGTAAATAGCATTCATTTCAATGGTTAAATCTATTGGGTCACTGCTTTAATAAAAGGCCCTTGGAAAACAGTTTCATGGAACTAAATATACTCTGTTCAGAGTACGGCTGCACATTATTGGAATAAACAGACCCTGTGATTTCTTTGTATTTCTGTAATATATATACACCAACACAAAGGATTTGTAATGATGGATTACATCCAAATCAGCTGAACGCTGTGGGAATTACAACAGTTTGCATATGTGCCTCCCACTTGTTAAGGGACCAAAAGTGATTGGACAGAATAATAAATCAAATAAATCAAAATTTCACTTAATACTTGGTTGCAAATCCTTTACTGTCAATTACAGCCTGAAGTCTAGACCACATATACATCACTAGATACTGGGTTTTATTTCCTGGTGGTGCTCTGCCAGGCTTCTACAGCAAATGCTCAAATTAAAGCTGTAGTTAAAGAAAGTCTTGTTCATGTAATTTCAAATCCAGTGTATATATTTATTAGTGGTGGGCCGTTATCGACGTTAATGTGCTGCGTTAATGCGAGACTCTTATTACGCAATAAAAAAATAAATTAATTAAATAAATAAATAAATAATAAATGAATAAATAAAAAAATTAAAAAATCACTGTTAATCTATTCTCAAAGTTGTGTTGGGAGCTGGGTCTATTCTACGCAAGCTATGATGACTTTTACCTTGATATTTTAGTGTGGATGTATACCTGACCGGTGAGCCACCTGACAAAAAAGAGCCATTCTGAATCAAATCAGCAGGATGCCTGACCTTAACTACAGTTCTGCAGTTTCACTTTAACTTATGAACATTTCATTCATGCCCCCGTGACAAGCTGGGGTATTGAACGCAAATAAATATTAATGACTGGTGAGAGTGTTATGAAATTTAATAACGCACGCCAAATGAAAAGAAAAAAAAATCAGCATTTTGCTATATTCTGTGTGTGTGTGTTTATGTATGTGTGTGTGCAGTGCTTTACTGACAGCTGCGCAGCAACTAACATGACATCTGACATACAGACGCCACTGGCACAGGCCACTGATTGTAGTGACATTTCCGGTGGCATGTCCGGTTTTCACTGCCATGTGCCACTCGGTAGTGGCATGTGTAAGGAACTTTGTCATCAACGCCCACCGAAGCTTAATGACACTAATCAACACGCGCAAAATGATATTTAATCTTTATGCGACTTTTAACAGGATTTATTGCGTCGCAAGGTAGTTTATTTGCTGGACTACTCCATGATGTTTTAATTGCGAATCTATTTGCTTGCGCGCCAATTTCCTCTGCTTGTGCACAAAACTTCGCTCAATATACGCTGCTCTAGCGCAGATCTTCTTGTGCGCTTTAAAATATACACTGCTGAACTGCGATTTAGTGTTTATGTAACAAGTATGTCTCCAACATTTACTAGATTTGCTAGGAATATTTATGAATGTCTCCAATAGACCTACAGAGCGGCATTATTGCGTCCTAAAGTGAAGTGAAACGACTATACGTCGTGTTTGCTGGCCTCACGCACCTGTCAGTCAGTCCGTCAATCAGTCATCACGTAACCTTAAAGGGTTAAACAAATGACGCACAGCACTACTACAGTTACAGAAAAGTTTGAGCTGTTATAGTTCACTTACCCTTTAATAAGCTTTGGTGCGATTATAACCTGCTATTTAAAAAAAACAAAACATGACTGAATATTTTGAATCAAAAGCTGTGATGTAGCCCTGGGAACAATTTTGGCGTGGCGCCCCGCCATGGAAAAATGAATTTAGCGGAAACCATGCAGTTGAAGTCAGAATTATTAGACCCCTGAATTATTAGCTCCCTTGTAAATTTTTCCCCCAATTTCTGTTTAATAGAGAGAAGTTTTTTTCAACCCATTTCTAAACATAATAGTTTTAATAACTCATCTCTAATGACTGATTTATTTTATTTTTGTCATGATGACAGTAAATAATATCTTAAAGTTACATTTAAAGGCTTAACTAGGTTAATTAGGTTAACTAGGCAGGTTAGGGTAATTAGGCAAGTTATTGTGTAACGATGGTTTGTTTTGTAGACTATCAAAAAAATATATAGCTTAAAAGGGCTAATAATTTTGACCTTAAAATGGCTTTAAAAAAAATTAATAACTGCTTTGATTCTAGCCAAAATAAAACAAATCTGACTTTTTACAGAAGATAAAATATTATCAGACATACTGTAAAAATTTCTTTGCACTGTTAAACATTATTTAAAAAAAAAAATAAAATAATAATAATAATATATATATATATATATATATATATATATATATATATATATATATATATATATATATATATATATATATATATATATATATATATATATATATATAAAGAAAATCAAAGAGGGGAAAATAATTCTGACTTCAACTATATGTATATATATATATATATATATATATATATATATATATATATATATATATATATATATATATATATATGAAAATGAAACTCATCGTTTATTCTTAATGAAACTTTTATGACTTTATTCTAGGGCTGCAAGTGTCAGCCTAAATCTGACATTGTTGCGACATTTTGTTTTTCTGCGATACTGTATATATTGTAACATGAATAGAATTTCACCAGATGAATTGAATATTTCTATTTGAATTTAAATAACTGATTAAATTAGATTGATTTACATGATTACATCTGCATAAAATATAATAAGCTACAAGTTTCTTGTGAAGTGACTGTTGTAGATGTGTACATTGTGATATCCATGCTGAAGCAATATATTGTGCGGTCCTAGTATCTTCTGCTGAACACAAAAAAAAAAAGATATTTTGAAAAATACTGTTCACCTATTGAAGATTTTTCATTTTTAGGTGAACTATCCCTTTAAGAACACATGCAAATGACAAACTTCTACTCCATTATGGTTACACTTTGCACTCTACAGGCTCCACATTTGCAGACCCACACATAGTGATGTCGGTGTTGAATTGAAATGCATTGTGCAGTCCTGAATAACAGGCAGGACAACACGATAAACTGCAGAAGTTTACCTTGGTTTCAGTAAGCTGCCTCTGCAGTAGTTGTAAAGCCTCCGTATGACCCTTCTCACTGTCCTGAAGAGTCGCCAGCTGCTCCTTCATCTCCCTCTGTAGGAAAACCACAGTGCGACACATCATGTCATTTATTGCCCATTAATCCGACAACCTCTGACCTGAAGTAATTAGTCTGAAGCGCTTCCAAAGCCTTCCTAAGAGAGACGCCACAAGCCTGATAGAAATAAATACCATACTACTGACTCTACACATGACTCTACAACGCATGATTGGCCAAAATAAAAACCACCTGGGGATGATACAGCAGGAAAGCGCTCTTATATTAAGCATTTCCTCAATTCATAGTGCATGCTCAATGGAAATGAGCACCATTGAGATCTTAACAATGAACATTTTTTCCAATTGGGTTTAACGCTGACCTTGTCCTTGGCCAAATTCGACATAGCTTCACAAGAGTTGATATCAGAGAAAAGCTTTTATGACTGAAATAGGCTATATTGCCATTCAGTCCTTTCACGCATGGATTTGATCCAGACTGGATGCTTGAAATTGTTAGAAAGGAACAGTGAAAGGTGGCTTTAGAGTTGCAGGGGGGGAAGAAGAGCAGAAATTAATAAATAAACAGCGAGTCTCCAGAGAGGTTTGTGTCAGGGAAAGTGGGTCTGTGCTGCAGTGGACGTGGCAGAATCAGGACGACGGGGCCACGTTTGCTCGCCTGGAGGCAGAATAAGCACAGGCAGAAGCCCCTTTACAATACTCATCTCTAAATTAGCAATTTATTAATATGGCTGACTGATTTAAGGGGAAGAATGGTGTTGCGATTTTCTAATACAAGCTGGCACCTATTTGCTGCTTCGCAATTTGCCTACTTATACTACACCCTAAAAGTATGTATTATTTCCTTGTATTTAAGTTGTAAATGTATTAATATGGCTGAATGATTTGAGGGAAAAAATTGTTTATATTTTCCAATAGAATGTACATTGTAAAAAATATCTGCTTATTAGGTTTCTGTATTTTTTACCACAAGTGTTTTCCATTTATTAATGGTTGTGAATTGCATTATGGGATCTCTGCTGTCAACTTTGATGTTGAACATTCAACTCTACAGTTTAACAAAGAAATTTTATTGACATTTTAGCAGCTAACTAAATAACACCCCAAATCAGAAAAAGTTGAGACATTATGGTAGGGGTGTAACGATACACTCAGCTCACGATACAATGTGTATCACGATATAATGTTCACGATTCGATACGTATCACGATATTTGGAATAAAAATTGAAAATTAAACTGAAATGCAAATTTTATTTAAAAAAATTTTAATTACCAAGTAAACTATTTTTTATGTATTTCTTTTGTTTCAACTTGTTAAACTGAACCTTCTTTAAGAGAATAAATTAAACAGGATTGTTTCTGGAAAATAAAACAATTTGAAAACTTCTTATAAAATAATATAGAATGATTCAATTCAATTGAATTTAACAGTAAGAGCTTAAGGCTTTGCTTGGTCACTTGCGTTTTTTGTGTGTGCAAAAAAAAAAAAAATCTACATTTCCAGGTAATCAGCAGTTCTATATAATAATCCTGGACTGATGTGTGTCTGTCTGAGAGGTTTTTATGGATGGCTGTCTTCATGTTGGGCATGATGAGTGACAGGGTGGCTGTCTTTTCATTACACAGGACAGTCGTGGCTCTTTTCAGCAGTTTAGGCAGGTTTACTATTTCTTTGGCGTTGCTGATGTCGGCACTATCAAGTATATCATGTTGACGTGCATTTTTGTGTACCTCTGTACTCAAAAGAGTTCATGCTCGTCGTAATCATAACTCTAAAATGCGACATGATTATTTAAATAATGTGCACGCTTTCGGTTTCATTTCCACTGCTGTTCATACTTCCCACGCGGCTCCTGAACGATAACTCTGTTCCACAAACTGAATGTTGTGTACTACTTTATTACCTGTTAGTCACAACCTGCAGATTCTGTTCACTGAAGCATAGTCCCTTTTTAGTAACAGCTCACGGTTGGCTCACGTCATGTGTGATTTTGCGGCCGCCAATACATCATTATATGAAGACAGAATGATATTTTAGGGTGAATTGTACCTTATAAATACAGTATGTGACTCTTTCAACACCATTAGAAGGTATCCATGTCGCTGTGCAAAGTATGTAAATCACTGTGAAGACTTTAAAACTTCAGCTATGTTTGACCCAGTATGCGTGTCAAAAAGCGGACGAGTCTAAAGCAATGACTGTACAACCGAAATGTTGCCAGACGTCTGATTTTGAGAGGATGGGCCATCATCTATTTCAACTCCACTCATCTTGGTCTGCTAACATTACTGCTGCTGCAATCTGAACTCACGTGCGACAGCAGGTGGAACGTAGCTCACGTGCAAACAGCTCAACTAATAAGAGAAAACAGACGTCATATCGTAATCAAATCGTCATAACGCCACGATGCATATGGTGACATTTTTGCATCGCAATAAATCGTACAACGATAAATCGTTACACCCCTACATTATGGAAGACACAAATAAAAAAACAGTAGTGATTTCCAAATTGACTTAGAGTTGTATTTCATTGCAGACAATATGATCATAAAATATTTTATGTTTTGTTTGGTTAACTTCATTTCATTTGTAAATATACATTCTCTCCTGTCATTCATTCCTGTCACTGAAACATTTTAGCTGCTTGATCAAAACTAATAATTACATTAGGTGGCGCAGTGGGTAGCATGATCGCCTCACAGCAAGAAGGTCACTGGTTTGAGCCTCGGCTGGGTCAGTTGGCATTTCTGTGTGGAGTTTGCATGTTTGTGTGGGTTTCCTCCGGGTGCTCCGGTTTCTCCCACCAGCCCAGAAACATGTGGTATAGGTGAATTGGTAAACTAAATTGTCCATAGTGTATGTGGGTGAATGAGAGTGTATGGATGTTTCCCAGTGATGGGTTGCAGCTGGAAGGGCATCCGCTGTGTAAAACATATGCTGGATAAGTTGGCGGTTCATTCTGCTGTGCAGACCCCTGAATAATAAAGGGACTAAGTCGAAAAGAAAATGAATAATTACATTAGACATAATGAATTGACTCAAGAACTTTAACTGTACATCTGATCTGTATAAACGTCAAAGAAGAGGAACTTGGTACAATAACAGCACACCATTTATTATTATATTTTAGATTAGTACAATGGCTGAAGCACAAATGGTGACAGAAAAGCTGTTGCATGATGAATAACCAACCTCTAAATGCCAAAAGTGTAATCAATAGCTGATGTTACTGTTCCAGATGGAAATGAACACCAATGAAACCAGGTCACATATTTTATAAACAAGACCATCCTGAAAAACATATCCATCCCACATTCCGGCTTCACGTTGTAGTGATACACTGAGAGTGAGCTAGATGGAAAAAAATGCTGTTGAAACACCCATTATTAAATCTGTGCATATTAATAACCCATTGCACTAAAATTACAAAGTACTTTCTTAATAAAAGCACATTACTTCGGGGAAATGCAGTCTACAAGAATCAAATTGCCCTTCCCAGCATCCAAACATCGCCTGGTTTCGCTGTGCATACCTGACAGATGAGAGCAGTCTCTGATGAATCAAGCAAAAGCAACATAACCAGCCGGTGCACTTCGAAAATGAAATGCAAATGGTGACTGGATCATTATACACCATCACTTTTGGTATGTGCCATTTACCTCCACCTTTAAAAGGTATATGCAGAGAACTAACAACTTCTTGAAACAGAGATTTGTCCAGCGCTGAGAGATGAATCATTTTTGGCAGTGAATGGAGCTTGCATGGTTAAGATGTGGAAACAAAGGAGGCAGTGTGCTGCTTTGAGCTGCGTGGAGAGTATATGGAGCACTGGAGGTCAGAGGCAGCCCACGTTTATATCAATCTGAGCGGGCGAGAGGAAGTTTGACATGACATTTCCCCAGGATCCCACATGGCAGGGGGAAGAAGGTCACTGGAAGTCAACTGCAAGACTGAAACTTATTTTACCCTAGCTTTACTCTGTGCTTAAGCAACATATTCTAAAGAAAATGGGAGCAGTTAATGTAATGTTTATTTAACGTTATGCGGTCCCACTTTATATTAAGTGGCCTTAACTAATATGTACTTACACAGGAATTAAAAGCTTGTTACAAAGTACCTATTGTGTAAATACATGTATTCATTGTGTACTTATGCTTGATTAAAGACCTGTATGTAATTACATCTGTAATTAACTTCTGTAATTACGTTTGTAAATACACTGCTGACCATTCCCTACACCACAGGTGTCAAACTCAGTTCCAAAAGGGCCGCAGCTCTGCAGTTTAGTTCCAACCCTAATTAAACACACCTGATCAAACTAATTGAGTCCGACACCCCTGCTCACCTTAACCCACCCTTAAACCTACCCATACCACCAAACCTGTCCATAAAGTACATTGTATTTATTTTTTGATGCAAGTACATAGTAGTTAAGGACAATTAATATAAAGTGGGACCCTTTATGCTGGCATGCAATTTATTAAGACAAGCAATTATTTTTTACCTGTCTAGAAAAAAACTCCTAAATTTAAGAACTTCTAGATATTTGGTCTAGAAACAAGACAAAAAAAAATCCAATTAAGAAAAGCATTTCAGTTAATCTATGAAATGATAAATTATAATGCACATACAATTGCATTAAAATGACATACAGTAAAATAAAAACAGAAATAATAACCATCATACTTTTTGAACACTTGATCATAAGAACTGAAACAAAGGTCATTGAGGTTTTCACTGGTCCACATCCACTTTCATTGCGTCATTTTTTCAGGTGTTGTTTCTTTAAGAACTCCTCTTCCTACAAATAAGATAATATCGTCTAGACAGCCTACGCAACCCTGCAAAAGCTCACCACAAATCTAATTGCAAAGCTTCTGGTTTTCATCGCTTCGTCATATCTGACTGGTGGGTCTGGCTTAAGTTCTTTGAGTAGTGTGCACTTCAACAGAAATCAAGTCTTTTTGCCAACATCTAAATACCCAACATCTATCTTGAAAAGTTGACCTGCTGAAACTTCCATACAGTCATT